GAGGAGGAGGAGGAGGAGGAGGAGGAGGAGGATTAGAAGGAGAAAGAGGAGGAGGAGGAGGATTATGAGGATTATTAGACTTAACAAAAACGAAAACACAACTTATACACTGAAACGTATCGTCCACGTGTTGGTCAAGTGTGGACACCGCTATACCGCAGCGGCGGCTAACTTTGAAACTAACACCATAGTATTATTATCTTAGGATACGGCTACATTTTCATGGCCTGGCAATCGTGAACGAAAAAAAAATGTCTGTAGCGATTGTGGCAGTCTGGCGGCAAAAGCTTGCTCACGTACAAGAGAGACACTCTGAAATATTGATGATTTTTCGATACTCGATCCAAAGCTGATCGATAACCAAATGTACGCATGACAGTGTGTCTGTCGTGCATTCGATGGATGTCAGGTGAAGATTTGCCTTGTTGTTGTCATTAATTCCCTCTTTGGGTTCTCCGATCGGTTTCATCCTGGTTGTTATTTTCTCCCTTTTTTGTCATTGAATTGTAGTTGCTGTTGATGTTACTGTGGTTGCTGCTGTTGTATCTGCTGCTGTTGTTGCTGCTGTTGTTGCTGCTGTTGTTGCTGCTGTTGTTGCTACTGTAGTTCTTTAGTTTTAGTAACAGTTTTACGACACTTGCAACAGAATAAGTAAATACATGTGCCGAAAAATGGATGCGTTACCAGAGAGTAACATACACAAAAAATGGGAGGAGACATAAGGACGATAGATGCTTGATAGGAAAGAAGGAGCAAACCACACCAGAGCACCCGCCATTCACCCACTGCTGTAGATCTTTTAAGCTGTTTTACTATTTTGTTGTTGTTGTTGAGCAGTTACGTTACTGATTATGTTATCGTTCGTTAACCTTAGTACATTCTCTTGTTGCCGTTATCGCTGTTATTTTTAGTAGTGGTGGTGGTTGTGGTAATGGTCAGGGGCGAAGGCTGACTTGTTTTACAGGGTAATCAAAGTGAAATAGGACCAGATGGCCTGGGGATATCGCACAAGAATCTTGCTCGAGGCGGCGACTCAGAGTTGCGAATGAAAACAAATCCGGAATTCATTATTGTATGTTC